TGCAAACAAGGTCCTACAAAGATACTAAGAGAATATAATGCATACTGACATAAAAATATGTTTAAAACGGGACACCTGCATGGTTTAGTCAGTTAAGTGTCTGCCTTTGGTTCAGGTCATGATCCCAGGGTCCTGAGATCCAGCCCCGCATCAGGCTCTCTGCTCAGCGGGGAGCCTGCTTCCCTCTCTCTCTCTGCCTGCCTCTCTGCCTACTTGTGATCTCCCTCTCTGTGTCATATAAATAAATAAAATCTTAAAAAAAGAAAAAAAGATGCAAAGAGAGATGTTCAAAAACAGGGAGTGTCATTTCAACTCCTATTTTCTCATGACCTCAGGAAAACAAGAGCAACTGGTGGTTATTCCATGAAGGGATTCCTGTTTTCCATTTGTTGTTTTTCCAAATGACATGAATACCAAAAAGTCATTATTATAAAACTAACACGTTCAGGTGATTTAAGGATGTGCTTAAGATGAAATCAGAAATAACCTAGAGTTGCGCCATATTGTCTGCTGAATGGTCCTCCTTGAACAACACTGCCTCTGGACAAATAAATACAGCCATAGATACCTAGAGAATGTCTGAGTTTTGTTCTGAGTGACCCAAGTGGGGCTCCAACATGAAGCTGGGGTTTTGAGCAATCCTCAGAGAGGATGACATAGGCTTGGTTTTGCCTCTTGGAAGATGGCACCAGGAGAGAAGAAGGGGACAATAATTCAAAGAGCCAAGAGATATCTTCATTTGAATTTCAACAAAATTTCTTATTTGATCTTTAATACCTATTTCCTTTAATTAACCTAAACATCACAATCTTTTTATTTAAAAAATTGCTTACTGAGCACTTGCATTGGCCAGGCATTTTCTTATGCCCTGTAGATTGCATTATTTTATAGTTTCCCCAAAGAAACAGGAGCCTAAAGAAACAAAAGCTTCATACATAAGGCACACAAGACAGTAAAATCAAAATCTGGAATATTTGCGTGAAGAAAGTTGAGAAAGAAACCTATGTCAATATAGGACAGATTTCTTTCTTTTGGATATGAGAAATTTTTCCCAGAATTAGGATTTAGTTTGAATTCTTTAAAGCTTTCTTCACATTTAATATAATTGAAATTGCCTATATTTAATTAATTAAATGTCACAATTCCAATATAATTATTTTATGAATAATTTTATTAGCTGTCTTCTCTTTTAATCACCATGCCACTTTTTATCTTTATCGATGACTATCTTAAAATGTTGAGCCACGGGCTTTACATGATTCCATAAAAATCCGGGTAAGAAATAAAATATTTTAATATTCAAATGAGTTCTTTATGACAAAATATTTCCTAAATAATTTCCTCTTAACCTAATTATTCTTAACCTTAACTTAACCTAATTTTATTCTCATGATATAGAGTACAGAAATGTCTGGGGTTGCTTTCTGGCCTTCTGATGATGTCTGCTCTTAGCTGCCAGCAACGAGACACCCTTTTTCAAATTATGTAATAATTCTCCAATATACCTAGATTTGAAAATGTATAGCCTTTGGAAGATTAGCAAACCATGCAGGGGCTTTACTGAAAAACTATACCATCTTAATTTTTTGTTGTTTTTTAATTGAAATATAAGACATTATAGGTGATGTGAGAAATATAGAGAAAATCTATCTAAAATGTTAACACTTTCATTTGTGAATTATAAGCATAAGTCTGTTGGTCTTCAAATAATTTTAGTAATAGAATACTTAATCATATAGATTGTTCTTTTTAACTTAACATATTATCAGAAACATTTTGATATAAAAAAAGATGCATTCATATCTCATATGGTAAGTCTGTAATTTTGGAGGCAAACTGTTTCTTATTCCAATGTGTTATTTGCCTGGTTAGCTCAGATGATTGGACCATGGGCCAAAACTGATGAAGGTTATAGTTTCAATTTCTAGGTAGGTCAGTTAGCTTTACTCTGTTTCATGGCCACATGAAGGGACTAAATGACTTAGAAAGAAAATGTGGACATAATAGCCTGAATTTATCCCCTGTGCTGGAAAAAGTACCCATAGTACAAGACCTAGGTTTGTGCCAATCTGGAAGTCATTAGCGTCAGGACGGAAAAAACAACAACAAAAAATAAAGCAAGAGAAGAAAAACCCTGACCCCCCCCCCCCAAACACAAAAACTGAATGCTATATAGCTTTCATTTCCATAATATAACATAAAGACCTGCCTTTTCTTTTTATAGTTAGAGTCAAGGGGCTCCAGCTGATCACCTGCCTAAAATTATTGCAAGCCTGGTGGGAAGCATTCAAGGAGGCATAGTCATGTTTTCATTTCACTAGGAAATCATTTAGCAAATTACTGCTGTCCTGTAAATTGCTGTGCTGCGTAACTTTCATACTGAGAAACTATTTCCCTTTTTCCATAAAAATTGCAGAGAAAAGGTTCCTATAATAAATAAACCGTATTTAAAACAAACCAATTCCCAGAATTTTGGGACGGTGATAGAGCACTTCTCAGGTGAAAATAAAAACAAATACATTTTATTACCAATATTTGAAAACTATATATTCTCTGTTAAAGTCAGATTTTCATTTATTGTTTGTTTACTTTGTTACCCTTTGAGGGGAATGGAGAGAGGCTTCTGAAGACAAAATAACAAGCTAAGTACTTATTTTTGGAAAGAAAAAGAACTAAGTTTGGAAATCAGAGCTCTTTAAGCCCAAATCTTATATCTTGAAGAGAGTCCCACAATCAGTAATCAGCCTAAATAGAACACGGTATTGGGAGCAATTTTTACTATGCCAAGTTCTGTCTAAAATGTCGGTCTGAAGGGAAATAACTTAGTTCTTTTAATTTTGTGTCGAGGTGATAGGCCCAAATATAATCTGGAGAAAGATGGCCTAGGATCACATTCCAAGTATGGTAAACCCTGCTGATGTAGCAGTAAGCATTACAAAAGGACTAATTTCTCTGGCCTTTTCCAGAAGCACTTGGATAATGAAACACAGAGCTGGTTCTTCCACTTCAGTGGCAAGAAGACGGAAAAGCAGAGTCAGGGGAGAAATCTTTCCTTCAGAGAAAGAGGTCCCATTTCAGTGCTGTCTTTTTGTAAGAAAGCTTTGGAAACAAAATTGAATGACTGATATTCACAAACACTAATGGATATTAAGAAGTTTCACTCTAAACTTAAAGGTTGCTAAGACTAATAAAGAGAAAATGCTTCATGGTGGCTAAAATTTTTAAACAGTCACATTCGATGCATAGTAAAAGTAAAGGTCCTGATATCTAGAACTTGTTATAACATCACTGGACTTAAATAACTGATACTTGAGTCCACAGTTTAAAAATGTTGTGCAAACAGGGAGAAGATTCAGAAGAATGGCCTAAGCGTGGTTTTATTGTTGCAAATTAAAGCTTTGAGGAAAAGAGTAAAAGAACTGTTATGATTCAGTTTGAAGATGAGTCGACGAAAATGATCTTTATCATTTTTTCCCAATCTTTCTCAACCTGTGTTCCTCATCTAAACCACAGAGTACAAAAACTAATGTGACTCTTTTCTCAGTTCTTCTGTGGATGGTACATAAAAGAGTACCATTCTAGATCCATTGAGGAGATGTGAATTCATTACATACAAGGCTGCCTTCGGGCACCACGACTCAATTCTCTCTTGTAAAGGATGTTGATAACAATTGGATACACAGTAGAACATAATGTTGGCAAGATATCTGAAGCCTAGAAAATGCACTTAAAGAAGCGGGTTATCTGTAGACAAGATAAAGGGTGGATTTCCTAAAGCTAAATGACTTAGCATTTTACTTTTATAGAGTCTGTTGAGGAAAATTACAGTTTCCTTCTTCCAGGATTTTGGAGCTGGGATTTATTTTCTTCTCACCAGAATAGGATGAAGTGCGTAGTCTCTGAAGGCGGAGGTCTTGTCCCGCCCTGCAATGGGTGCGTTTGGTTCTTCCCAAGTGGAGTTATTCAAATGTCTAACATGGAGAAACTCTGAGGGTAGAAGGGGTAAGAACTAGGTATGCTGATAGGGCTGATGGGTAGTGGCCTGAGATACATCTCCTCCCCAAGGAACCCATCTCATGATGCGGGGAAGGACACATTTACCCGTTTCAGGGAAGTCAAGGAAAGAAACTTGACGTTGACCAAGAGAACTCTGACGGTAAAGGCTTCTTGAGAAGATTAGAACTTCATAGTCCTGCCTAGGTTCTTCAAAATATCTTTCGTGACATCTCTAGTATTAATTTTTTTTTCAAAGAAAATGTCTGTTGAATCTAGACTACTGACTTGATAACACAGTTACCAATCTGAATATAAATAATTGTTCTTCAGAATTATAAAGATGTAGAAGACAAACTAAATAAGGCAGAGTCAACGAAAATGGTGGTGTCTTACTATCTAAAAGCAACCTGGTTTCTATGTTGATTTTTCTGGTGAACGCAGACATGGGAAAATTCCAAATACTTTTTAAGGTTTTTTTTAGTTAAATTCCAAGTAATTGAAGTCCTACTATCTGTTGTTGCCCAGAGAGATATTTTATTCATGACTCCACGTTATCATGATTCTAGAACTGTCCACAAAGATCACTATTGAGTTGGATTATACATTTAAACTACAAATGACTTTTTCTAATGTTACTTTAAGGAGTATTTGGACAAGGCATCAGTCAAACTGTGGATACAATCTGCTTTCTCTGGCAACTTATCATTAATGTAAAATGAGAGTCCATATTGATCTTCGCTTATGTAAGCAGTTCACATGAATTCCATGAAACTGCAAGTGAGCAGAAAAAAAAAAAAGGCAAACTTTGTCTTCTAGGAAAGCAGGGCTTGAATATTTGAGTGCAAATATCTCTTTTATAATAAACAAATATATTGTTTACTCACGGAAGTTTCAAATGTAATGAAGTCAAGGTTGGTACAGTTAAAATAGCTCAAAGACGAATGAGTACATGAATAAAACTTGTTTTGCCTTCTCCTAAATGCTGCCCTCTTTTCCATTTACAGCTATTCAAGAGCAAGAAGATGAATCTGTGCCCCTATCCTTAAGCCCAGACAACTCCTTAAATAAGTCACAGTTAGACGACTGCCCAAGGGACTCTGGTTGTTATATCTCATCAGAAAATTCAGATAATGGCAAAGAAGATCTGGAGTCTGAAAATCTCTCTGACATGGTACGGAAGATTACTATCACAGAGCCAAGTGACTGAACACACATTCTCAACTATATATGTACAAATGCATTCCATTTTAACTCTACTTGAACTAAAAGATCAAATAAATGGGAGAGAAAGAAAACATTTGGCAATACAACCTAAAGAGAAAGTGTTTTAATCTGAATGATTTTATATAAAAGTTCATGTCTCTAACATTCCCAATTATTGTAAATAGTATGTATATTTATTATTTTAAATGCTACATGTTAATATTTCACTTGCCTATATTAGAAAAGGCATAGTATAAGTCTTTGATATGTGTGACATAAGCTATATTCAGCTTTGTTTAAGTGTGAAATGATAAATTCTGCAGGAAAAAAACTCCTCTTTTTTTCATACCTGTTGGTTTTGCATTTGTGTCTATTATTCAATAAATAGTAATGAACCATTTGTCTGTTTAACCAACTGTCCAAGCAGCATTCACACTCATTTTTATACTTAATGGGAAAGCGTGAGTTAATACTGGAGACATTTTATCCTGATCCACAGTGGAGTTTTAGAAATTATTTTTTGCTAATTTCTTCACTGTTATCTGGTATAAAAGTAGAGATAACAAGATATTGTTGACTCTCGTTGAGTAAAATGAATTTTAATAATTGTACAGATGTTTCATCTTTAATTGTAAATATTTTTAATTGTGAAATACCTTAATTTTAAATAATAAAAATAACTATGTGCATTTGCTATTTTCCAGACTACTAGTACTTAAATGTATTTTTATATTAGACCTCTAGACAAAATATCTATTACCAGAAGTTTTATAGTCTGTCTGATATACAGCATATATATGTGTATACGTATATACACACATATATATATGATTCCCAAATGAATTACCTCACTTCCATCTGTCTCCTGAACCCCAGGTCTGTGTTATCCGACTTCCTGAACACTTCTATGTATTAGTCAGCTCAGTCTGCCATAATAAAATATCATAGACTGGGTGGCTTAAACAACAGAAACTTATTTTGTTAGAATTCTGAAGTCCAAAAGTTCAGGATCATGTTGCAGCATGGCTGGATTCTAATGAGAGTTCTTCCTGGCTCACAGACAGCTGCCTTCTCACCATATCCTCACACGTCAGAGATAGCAAGCTTTCCGGTGATTTTTCTTAGAACGGCACTGATCCAATCACGAAGGCCCCACCTTCACATCCTCATTTAAGCCTAATTATCTCCCCAAAACACCATCTACAAATACCATATATGGGGGGCTAATGCTTCAACATTCTAATTTGTGGGGAAAGGAGTCCAACATAGGACTCTAGAAGCTTCAGATCAACATAGCCAAATCTCTGACTTTTCTCTACAAATTTGTCTCTGCTTTTTTATTCCAAACAAAGCTCTTTCTTTAATGATGCCAATACCCAACCAGTTACCCCAAACAGAAAATCATTTCTCATATCATCTCATATATACCCTTCTCATAGATTCAATTCTCACAGATTCAGTATGTAATCAAGTCCTACCTCTAGAAGTGCTTTGCCATTCATGACTTTCTAACCCTTCCTATGGTTGCTGTCTTGCTTTGGAACCTCATGAGCTCATTTATGAAATAGTGCAATAGCTTTCCAACTGACCCCTATTCTACCAGTGCCCTACCTTTTAATCCATCCTCCACCCAGCCTCCAGAAAGGTCCAACATGTAAATCAAATCATGACTTCCAGCTTCAAGTTGTTTTTTGTTTTGTTTTGTTTTATAGCTCCTCACTCTCTTCAGTATAATTTTTGAACTTTTTTCCAGGGTATATAAGGTTCTTCTCAACCACTTTTGACCTACCCTATGAATCATATCTTTCCTCCCCCTCCTCTTACTCTACACTCTCTATAATCTACTTGCAATTCCACAAATTCACAATTTCTTTTGGGACTTCTCTTATGCTATTTATTTTCCTGGAGTGGTTCCTATTTTTTTTACATCCAAGAGTCTCCCTTTGTTTTCTGTTTTAAGATTCATCACAAAAGTCACTTACTCTGTGAAGCCTTCCATGATTTCCTTTGGTTTTCTCCTCTGGGTTTCCTTAGCAACTTGTATTTCTGTTGGTCATAGCACTTTATTATACTTTATCTATTTCAGAGGCACTTATCTTTCCACAAGACCACGATCTCCTTGTGACAGCTTTGTAATCTGGTGCCTGGTATTAGACCTGTACAGAGTGGGCATTTAGGAAGCATTTGCTGGAGGGCAACGAATATAATAATTATTCCCATATAATGGATTCTGTATTTATATCTAAATCAATGTACTTAGTCTATAGGTAAATACCTTCCAAAGTGATCTAAACATTTCTTTAATAAATAAAACACAATACCTTAGGAAAAATCAGGAAACACAAAGTATTATTTCGAATGCTGGGAGACATTATTACACTGTTAATTTCTAGTATATTTTTCCAGATCCATGAGATTTACTCCCAAATGCAGTGCCCAGGTCAGGAGTAAATCACATGCCTACGCCTATCCTTCCCCTCCACAGCAGGAAATAGTGTTTCAATTTCAAATTTCCAACATGCTGCCTCCATCCTGGTCCTGCTCCTGACTATGGCTACAACTCTAAATAGATTATTCTAGGACACAGCACAGCCTCTGACCATAATTTTTAAACTTTAATCAACCTGCTGCCTCAGGGAATTCTAGAGCGTACGGCTTCTTTATGAGGACAGCAAGAAATTTGTAGGTTAGGAAGCATGTGAGGAACTGTTTGATTGTAAAATGGTAGAAATCACTGGTGAAGCTTACCCAGCCACAGTTTCTTTTCCTTCAAAATAAAGATCTGGTACCCAGTTCGAGGATTTAGGGAAATGCTTTTGAGTAGAAGTGCTGCAAAGGCCTTGAGGAGGCTGAGGAAGAGGAAGAGAGACTGGATTCCTACAAAGAAAGAAGGAGAGAGAAGTGGAAACACCATGAGGTTCAAGTTGCCAAAAGGACGGCCCCATCACATAGCACAGTGCTGAAAAGGACACCTGTAGCAAAAGCATATCTCACACTAAAGGAACCCTGCGGCCCTTGATTTTACCTGTTGGATCCCTGCTGCTCGCTTTCCTTGGGTTTTTCTCTCGACCATGCAAGCTGGATAAAGAGAAGTAAAAAGGCTAGACGTAGTTCAGCCAAGGTTGTAAGGTAGTTGAAAGACTTAGACTTTTGGCTGCTTTTGACTAGGAGACAGACAGGAGTCTTAGCCTTTCAAGAGTGGATGGGAAGGTGGTTAGAAAGTGACATTTTCATGGCTCCCAGATGGCTTTGTGTTTCCAGGTTGAAATGTGGTGAGAGTCCTGGTCTCAATCATTTCTTTATTCACACAACAATTCTGAGACATGGAACGCATATGCTGCCCAAGACTATGCCAATGAAAGCCTCTGGATCATAGAATCTGCACGAAGATCTTGCCACAGCCTGTCACTGAATAAGCTGTCTCTCGGTACAGAAAGATTGTAAAACTGTCCTGGGATGCCGTGATTGCTCTGATCCCAAGAACATCTTATGTTTACAAATTCAAGTGTGTGGTGAAAGTATGCCTAGTTAGAGAAATTTTAATCCAGATAAATGGATAAAATCTCCATAATACGTTTTTTGTTAAGAACAAAAATGAACTCTTTTAAATTCTGCCCCCCTTGATTCTATTGCCGATACAAGTACCAATATATTTTCACTCTGAAATTTGTTATCAGAAGCTTTTCTTTTTTATCAATTAAATTTCCAAGATAGTTAATAAAATAACTCTTAAAACTTCTAAAATGATAGTCAGCTCAAGATTATCAGGTTTTAGACAACATCTAATTCACTGAGGTTAGTCAAGCGCCCTGCAACTTCCTGAGTGAGGCCAAATTGATGACATGCTGACATTTCATGTTGAGAAACTTCCGTTACAAGCCTAAGTTCTGAGAAAAATAATATGAAGAAATTGTAGATACTCTGTCACACCACACACGCACACTCTTCCATCCCCTCCACACCATCAAAGAAAACCGTTCGACTAATCAGGACGCACAGGATGTCATGCTAGAATTATGTAAAGGTTGAGACAAAAATGAATAGGAACTAAATATAGGTAAAAGAACAGCAGTTTCTAAAATATGACCAGGTTTCCTGGTTACCGAAATAAGATAAAAGGAACCCTTACTTTAGGCTACCCCCTATCCTACCACTGAATTCATCTGATCACATCCAACGTTGACCTAGAGGTCTGGTTTGAGCACTGTGCGACTTTGTGTAAGTCACGTAGCCTCTGAGCTTAGGTTTTTTGGGTTTTCTTATCCTCTATGAAATATAATACTAACATTTCATATTTCTGTGCTGCTTAAATGAGATAATGTACACAAAACATTCAGCACAGTGCATGTCACGTGAATAAAAACTGATATCTGAACACAAAATGAAAGCAGTGCACATGTTACCATAATACAGGCCTGGGCGTGTAGTGATTTGAAATTCTTCAGACACCGATTGTCTGAGGGCTAGGATAACCGTGTTGTGCCACAGCAGTGAGAATCAGCGGATTTAACAGAACCTCACAGATAATGACCATTTTGTCAGGACAGAATATTTCTTTGTCGGGTTCTGATAGATTAGAAAGAGGCCATGTTGTATTTAGTTTTGATTCCTCACACTTGAGGTTATATAATAATAATATAAAAATAATCATTTTTTTAAAGATTTTATTTATTTATTTGACAGACAGAGATCACAAGTAGGCAGAAAGGCAGGCAGAGGGAGAGGGGGAAGCAGGCTTCCTGCGAGCAGAGAGCCTGATGTGGGGCTCGATCCCAGGACTCTGAGATCATGACCTGAGCTGAAGGCAGAGGCTTTAACCTACTGAGCCACCCAGGCACCCCAGGAATAATCGTTTTTAAAGACCAAACAATTTGAGTATATAAATAACTGCTTATATTCATGAATAAAATTAAATCAATAAAAGATGTGAGGTTATTACTCCTAATACTGCACCTTGGGCCCTCCCTGGTCTTTACAATATGGAGTCGCAGCTCATTGTGCTGTAGCCCACACAGAAGGACATTGTGCTGTGCCCTTAGAAGGACACCCTAAATGTAGATTTTTACATATTTACAAAGTTAATGGCACTTAGGCAAATGATCTGCCGTGGGAAAATCACAGTGCAGAGGAAAATACAAGCTTTTCATCAGTCTCCCTTTCTTTCTTCATCATGCAAGCGTCTCACATTTGAATCACCAACAGTCTGAGTATTAGTGCATCTGTGTGAGGTCTATCATAAATTAAGAAGCCATGATGGAAAAAATCTTTTAAATGGCATTACTGTGTTCAGAGATCTCCTTTGACCTCCTGGGATCCCTGGTGGGCCTGAAATGCAGGGCACTGTTCCCTCAGAGGGACGGAGTGGAATCCTGATGCAGAAGGCGAACGGGATTGTTTTCCTCTTCGACTTTTTGAGCACCACGCCAAGTGAATGGGCAGGAATCATTCCATTTGCAGAGTAAAATGGGGTGAAAAGCACTTCTGGCACACTTTGTCCATATAAATTATACTTGTTTGCAATTCATCAACTCCTTCTCTACTTTATATCCATATGTAATGTAAATGATCGTCTTTCTCTGAAGCTCCATAATGATGCGCAGCTCCAAAATGTGATATAATCAGCTAAAAGAGAGCAGATGGAAGCTTTTCCCCCAATATGCATATTCATAAAAAAAATAGAGAACTCAACAAAAGGAGATACATAAGTACTTGTACCCGGAGGGCTGCTGCATGGGCTTATGTACAAAAGTAAGTGGGTTTTCTGCAACTATTTCATTCTTGAAGCCTTTACTCATTCATTCCTGCAACAATCATTGAAAATTCTCTGGAAAAAAAAAAAAAACCTGCCCTTCCACAGAGCAAAAGATACATTTTCCTTAAGTTTGTTTTTTGTTTTTTGTTTTACTGCACCTTAGAACTCATGGTTCAGGAAATAATGGTTAGAATACTTTACTAGAGGAAATATGATGAAAAGGTAAACCATGAAAAAAAGTGAAGATTTCACTGTCCCTTTAGCAACATAGACTACAGACATTAAAATTCCCACTGTTATACTAGAAAAAGCTGTATAGAGAGAATAATGAACTGTCTGGATAGCATTAACTATATATGTATATATTTTAAATATCTGATTCCTCAGAGGGTAAGGTGGTTCGGCTACTAGAAATTTTGTTAATGGAAACAGCAGTAGGAGATATTGTGAAAGAAGGCAACCATAAAAGAAAATTTAAGAACTGAGTGAAACAACAACAAAGAGACACAAGGAAATCATTCAAAGTGTGGCTATGAGTTTTGGTCTTGTAACCAAAGAAGTGGTATTTAGACCAAAATTAGATGTTTCTGACCATGTATGTCTTCTTCCAGAACCCCTCTCCACATGTGAAGCCCTGATGTTCATTGAGAGAGGCTCTGCTATGGACTACATCCTTGATCTGTGCCCTCAGGTTCCTGTTGGGAACAATGAGTGGGAAGCCCCATTAGGAGCCTTGGGGGGTTGGGGGGAAAGGAAACTGGGGGGAGAGAGCAATGAGGTCAGTGTCTTTATTTGCTCCATGACATCACCTTGTGATACCTGTCTCAATCAAAGGTCACTAGTCACCTAAAATTGTCATTCTGTATCTGACTCTTTCCTTCCGATTTTGGTAATTGCTCCTTTCTCTCATCTCCAAAAGTTTAGAATTAACAACAGCTCTGTGGCTTGTTAGCTCACTATCTGCACAGACTTTAATGGTTCCCTTACCCTCCACCCTGCCCATATCTTTGCAACTAGTCCCTTTATAAATAAGCCGTCCTCGAATTATCCTAATTTGATCATGCCATCGACCCTGTTGGTAGCCAGACTAGTGCCCTGATCCGCTACCGCTCATGACTTTCAGTTACTTAGGTCATGTTCTTGAGTCTAATGAGCACTGCTCTGTGAGTCCAGCATAACTTTATTTACATGGCCTCAGATCATTACTATCTGTCTCACTATTAGCCTCCACCCTTACTGACCAACAGCTTCAGGGTAAAGCATTTCTACTAACACTAGCGAAACTCATGCCCTTTACCCCCTTTCAATTCCTTATCCACCTGTCTCATGAGTCCACACACATATTTCTCCTTTTTTCCACACAGCTAAGAATCCCTGGAATAGGGATGAATGGCAGCACATAAATGGAGGTTTTCGTGGTGCAACTGAGCCAACCTAACTGCATAGAACACGTGTTCTATCTTTTACTAATAACCAAGCTCACAGTATTTTGCTATGAAACATGGGGTCATTTCTATTGGGACAATATACCATCTACCAACATTAATATCCATCCATCAGCTATGTAATAAAACAGAATGAACTTCGCTGCTTTTAGCTGCTTGCTACCTAATCAGAAATACCTGACATTAATAGCATTTGGGGGTTTTTTGTGAATGTGATTGCACATGGATACTGGAATTTTACTAGCAACTTTTCGTTGTTGAAATTCTTAATTCTAAGTTATATTTCACCTACTGTACCACTCACTAACATGGGTCTCTCAGACACAAAGCCTTGAGCCTCTTAATCTCAAAAGAGGTTACTGTAAAATATGGATGCCCAGATAATTTGCATGATTAATGAAAATATGTTTTAGAATATTAAACATTTAAGATGTTAGCATTTAGTAGGCTTTCTGACAGAAGTTAAAAGACTATTAGAATGACTGATGAATTGCTACAGTACATTAGCCCTCAGAACAGGGAATGTGCTAGAGGACATTTATGTAACTTCTTAGTGTTCTTGGTTTTGGTGGTTTTTTTCCTCTCTCTCTCTCTTTTTTTTTTTTCTTTCCCTTTCCAACTAAGCTGTCCTTTTTTGACCTTGGATCAGTTGTAAATGACCAGGCAGGGACTTTGCAAAGTTTGGAGAATCTTGAAAATTACATGGAAACCCAATGACAGAGGGACAAAGAAAGCAATTGTATTAGCCAGGGCTTTATACCTAATAGCTGGTACATAGTAGGAGATGAATAAAAATGTATCAAAGAAATGAAACATCTTCTTTCACGGTTCAAATACCTTACCTCAACACAGTGGGAAAAATGAAACAGAAAATTCTTCCCTGTTCAGCGACAAGGTCACTGACAGTTTAGTGGTTCATAACCAGGGAATATAGATACACTTGCTCTTTCCACCTGTTAGGCACTGGGTTTCAGAATGAAGCTCCACCAACTGATCTCTTTCTGGAGGCCTTTGTTTTTGATTGCTGCAGAGCTCATCAGAACCTATTTAGTCAGTTATGTCCTCCTCTTGTTATCCTTAGAGATGAAACATGCCAGGAAGGACTCTCATGGAGGTGTTCATCTCCCCTCTGGGTAAAAAGTGAAATACCATTGAAAAGGTAGGACCACAAAAAATACCAAAATAAATCTTTAAGGTAGGAGCAATAAACTGCCTAATGGCCTTGCTTTGGGAGAGACAATTAACATTACTTTAATTTATGTGAAGTATTATCATGAAGTTATGAGCTCCCTCTCTGAGCCCTACTTGCCAAAGCCTGCTTCTTTCCTTATAGCATTTCCCTTATAGCATTATTTACATTATAGGCAGCATTTCCCTTATAGCATTATTTACATTATAGTTTCTCCAGCACTCACTAATTATAGGGTACCTCATTCCTGTGTCAGTGAGCATAGAGAGAAATACACTATTATATATCATCTAGAATCCCACTACTTAGTACACAAAAATGGGCAGCACAAAAATGAAGTAGGCTGAATAATTGCCCCCCACCCAAAGACAGAAGATCCTAGTCTAATCTAACAGAACCTCGTAAGTGTTACCTTATTTGGGAAAAGGGTCTTTGCAGACATGATTAAGGGTGGGATATTGAGATAAGGAGATTCTCCTGAATTATCTTGGTGGGCCCTAAATATAATTACAAGTGTCCTCATAAGAGAGAGAAAGAGATTTCTTTCACAATGAAGAGAAGGCAGTGTGAAGACAGAGCAAAGAAGGCTGTAGGTGCTGCCTTTGACGATTCAACTGATGGGGCCATAAACCGAGGAATGCTGACAGCTTTCAGAAACTACAAGCAGCAAGGAAGGAATCCTCTTCTACAGACTCTACACGTGTGGCCCTGCAGACATACTCGGAATTTTGGTCCAGTGATAACTGATTCTGAACTTCTTCCTTCCAGAATAAGGAGAAAATAAAATTCCATTGTTTGAAGCCATCCAGTTTGTGATCACTTTTTTTTGAAGTCTTTATTTATTTATTTGACAGAGACACAGCAAGAGAGGGAACACAAGCAGGGGGACTGGAAGAGGGAGAAGCAGGCTTCCCCCTGCGCAGGGAGCTGGATGTGGGGGGCTCTATCCCAGGACCCTGGGATCATGACCTGAGTCGAAGGCAGAAGCTTAATGACTGAACGAACCAGGCATCCCAAGTTTGTGATAATTTGTTATAGCAGCCACAAAAAACTCATACAGTAAGTTAAACAATCCCAGCCTTAAACAAAAGGTTAGTGACCCCTAGTCATGGTCCTTACTAGCAGACCATGGGAAAAAAATTATATTATTAACAACCAGTTTAATACAAAAGAATATTAACATATATATCTGTTGAAACCTATGTATATTGTTCTTTACTTATATGTGTGTTATGTGAATATACTCAAGCAACTCATTTTTTTAAACAGGAAAAAAGGTTCTTTCAACAAAATAATGAATTTATAAATATGAAAGTCAAATACATACTATTTTTATCCTTCAGATGTTTCAAAATTTCATTTACTAAGAGTATGCTTTTTTCTATCCCCTCCTAGAATATAGCTATTATGGGCTAAAGGATAATGCAAATTTAAAACATTCTTTTTTTTTTTTTTTTAGACTTTATTTATTTGACAGAGAGAAAGAGATCACAAGTAGACAGAAAGAGAGAGGGAAGCAGACTCCCCGCCGAGCAGAGAGCCCGACGCGGGGCTCGATCCCAGGACCCTGAGATCATGACCTGGGCCGAAGGCAGAGGCTTAACCCACTGAGCCACCCAGGCTCCCCTAAAACATTCCTGTAAAGCAAAAATACCCTGATTTTGGCCTTACTAAGAACAGAAGCTTCCTTTGAGACTTGGAAATATTTGTTTTGCTGAAAGAAAAATGACTTTTTTTTTTTACCATGACTTATTTATTCCTTCATCAAATATTTATTGAACATGTTCTAGGCACCTAGAAACTATACTAGGCTCTGGAAATAGCAAGATGAACAGCAATAGCACCTATTCTCAAGGAGTTGGGAGTTCAGTGTGCTCCTTTGGCAAATGTGTAAATAAATAAATTCTTATGAAATGTGAAAAGCTAAAGTAGTTATCTAAGCAAGTGGTATGGAAGCAAGATTTAAAAATAAATCATTCATTTTAGAACCAGATGATTCTTTTTTTTCCCCTTTTTCAGTCATACTTTATTTCCCTTTCTTTTCTTTCTCTCTTTCTCTCTTCCTTTCTTGCTCTTTCTTTCTTTCTTTCTTTCTTTCTTTCTTTCTTTCTTTGTTAACATTTAATGTATTATTGCCCCAGGGGTACAGGTCTGTGAATCATCAGGCTTACACATTTCACAGCATTCACCATAGCACATACTCTCCCCAATGTCCATCACCCAGTTACCTTCTCTCTCCCTCCCTCCCCCCAGCAATCCTCAGTTTGTTTTGTGAGATTAAGAGTCTCTTATGGTTTGTCTCCCTCCCTATCCCATCTTATCTCATTTTTTCCCTCCCTACCCCCCATGACCCCCACCCTGCCTCTCAAATTCCTCATATCAGAGAGATTGTATGATAATTGTCTTTCTCAGAACCAGATAATTCTATGAGTTGGAGAAGAGGTCAGTTGTGTCCTGGTATTTGTAAGAGAGGAAAAAAAAAATCAAACAATACATTGGAAAAGTTTCTTATTCCTTATTTGGGACATTTATAGCCAAAATTGTACTCAAGGTTATAGTAGCCAAGATTCAACATCTTCAGATTCTGGATAACAGAATTAGCAAATTACAGTAGCTTTCTCCTGGTTTCAAAAATGACTACTTATACAATAAAGATTGCTTAATTAAAACTTATCCAACTGAAACGCCCATTTATCTGAAACAAATGTTTATGCTACAGACATCAACCAACTCTTCACATGAGTAGCTAACAATAAGCAACGGATGATGCTTGATGAATATCAATTAAAACACAATTGCTCCCAATGAACTCTTTCCTGAAAAAAATACATTCCTGCATGGACGTATATTCATATGCACGCATATGTGCGTGCGCACACACACACACACACACACACACACACTAACTTGTCTTCTTTAAAAAGTTAATTGGCATTAACTGTATTTTGAAGACTGGCTCTTCATTTTATCATTGAGCCCAGGGTTGGTCTCTGATAAGGCATGAGTTTCAGGTGAGGCAAGCTACATAATGGGGGATGTCCAGAGAGCTTAGAATAATAGCCCAGTGCAAAATGGAATGCAGAGCCCCACGTTCAAATTTATTAGGACTCTTAAGACAGCAGTAGCAGAGCATTAACACAAATATGGAGCCTTTGTGAGAGCAGAGCCCTGTGCAACAAGACAGGCTGTATGTCCCTAAAACAGGCCCTGGTTTCATGTATCCCTGATCAATTGCCCCCATTTGGGTTGTCCCAAGCACCATTCTATAGATTATGAAAACGAAAATACCCTGCCTAAAAGTCACATTATGGTCATATATTCTTTGCAACAGGGCTGTATTAATTCTAAAGGCATTGTTGGGCACCCATTAAAATTCTATTATGATCAAAATTTTCCATGCTTACTTGATTTTGCTTTTCTCTGCTTTATATAGACTTAACATAAGCGATGAAGCAGAAAAAAATGCTATGTGTTCACTGAACTGTGTCTATTAGCCACCTGGGTATGTTATCAGCCCTCCTGCATTTGGTTGTGTCTATGTGACCAGGTCTAGACAAAGTTAGGACTTGGCCCATCAAATCTCCTTTGAGGCTCATGTTCTCACCTCACTAGGTTTTCCTTACTCTGCCCTGTGCTTCCCCACCCCTTTATCTGAATAGTTGGAAACAATGGACACTGAACTATGGAGCCCACGATAGGAAAAGCCTGAATCCCTGAGGCATTTGTGGAGGAGAGCCATTCAGGAATGCTGCTTGACCCACATGAGTGCCACACAGAATTAAACTTTATTGTCTTAAGGCGCTTATATTACCCTAATACTCTATGTTTGGTAGAAAGATAGTCTGAGGCAGGGAGCATAGACCCAGAGCAGTATCTAACTCATTGAGCAATTCTGATACACCTTTTGAGAATCATGACTGAAGTCATCTTTTCAGCAGACTATAAATCAATGTACTAGTCAATAGCTACAGTGTTCTCTCATGGAGTTGTTCACATTGTCATAATAACACGAATCTATAATTTTCTTTTTTTTAATTTATAATTTTCAAAGCACTTTTTCCTATGTATTTTTTGAGGATTCCATTGTAAAGACTTCAAAATCTATAGGAGTGAATTATCAGGGATAGAATAACGAATAGCAACAATGACACTTTGCCAAACATTGTCTCAAATCTCACAAATCATCCCCTGTCAGTTTATAGGGCTTACAGACCTCGGAAATTCAGATTACCCAAGAAAGCATTTGATAGAAACCCTGGAATCTGGGCTGAGTCTAAGTAAGCATCTGGGAACACTGTTCTTAGGAAACTCAGCTGGGTGTTGCTGGGAGGGACAAGGGGAGATGGCCAGAGTGCTTAGAATAATGGCAAGTGTTCTTTTCCCTTTGGCTGCAGAATGTCAGCATTTATGGGAAAAAGTCGATCAAGTACTTACTGGATCTGCTTAATCAAGCATAATTGTCACCATGTGACTGGCAGTTATTGGAAGCTCCTATGAGAGACAGTGCCAGAAACATTATGCAAAGAACTACCTATCTTTTAGATAGTAAAAGGAAAAATAACTTTTCCTCAACACAGGAAATCAACATGATGCGATTTAAGAGCATGAATCTTTGGAATGGGAATCAGACTTAGTTTCAGCACTTATTTGCTTCAAGTTCTTCAGCATTTAAGCTCTAGTTTATTTCAGTGTAAAAGAAATGTTAATGCCTACATTGCAGAGTTGTGGCTTAAACAAGCTTAAACAAGTAAGGCACGTAGCATGATTTCTGCAACATTTTACCTCTGTCGGGTCCATTGTTTGTATTAGTGATATTATTTTTAATAATAATATTTTAAGGAGCACCTGGGTGTCTCTGTTGGTTAAGCTTCTGACTCTTGATCAAACCGGGGTCCAGCTCCACACTCAGTAGGAAATCTGCTTGAGATTCTCTCTCCCCATCTCCCTTTGTGCCTCCCCCCCGACCCCCATCACATGCCCTGGTGCTCTCTTTCTCTCTAAATAAATAAATCTTTAATAATAATAATACTTTAAGAATTAAGGACGAAGAAGCACTCACAGGCATTTTCAAATTTATACTGTAAAGAATCTTACCAAACATCCTTTCTGCCCTCTCTAAAACTTAGAAACTATTTTTCCCCAATTTTTTCAAGACATACAGTGTCAAGCATTTATAATCACACATTTCCCCACACAGCCAGACATATACTCATATTTCAAACAATTCTTTCAATTGCCCAAACACTCATAGGTTGTAGGAAATAATAATACATTAAATATTTATGAAATATTGAACTATTATATTCACACCAAGGGAGTTTAATGAGAGAAATTACTTTCTTATCCTGAATCTTAAAAAGGACTCTAGAGACTCTGATTAATATAGATTTTCCTAGAGTGCCCCTTTTATACTGCCTTTATAAATGTTTTATTTACTGTTCTTTAAGAGGTCTAGCATAGTTTTCTTCTAAACAAAACCCCCAAATTCTTCAAAATCTAGGCAAAATATGTAAATTTAAGGATTCTTTACAGTGCATTTCTGAGATAGGTATCAGATAGCACATAAATGTCTATTAACATTTACTATCTTCTTTCAGTAATTAGAAAGCTGCCTCAAATTTTAATGTGTACTACATGTTGATAAAGGGGGGAAAAACTCAGTTATCCAATAAATTGTTATTTTAGTTGAATTAAAGGTATTTTAAATTTTGAAATACCGAATACCTACAAAAGATCCCAGGCTAAACTCTATGGCAGTATCCAAAAGATCTAAATATATCTTTTGACATAAGAAAACAGAATAACAAAAATTTGAGTAGTTAAATTCTATAATAGAAAAATAACTATTTCTGTATTAAGGTTGTTTCATGAATTAGGAAGTTCAATAAGTAGACTAATGTTTGTTGATTTTATGGTGAGCTTGCAATGGCATCTTGCCCTACTTATAGGATTCCAGCAAATATTAATTGAACATTTTTTTTAGATAAGGAAAACTCTGTTAGATACTTGGAATACAGGATCATAAGATACATGGTATTTTCTCTCAACAAGTTTACAATCTAGCTGAGGAGGCAGGACAAGTATCAAAGACTACCTATGGTAACAGCATGTTCCTGCAAGAAAAGATACATCATAGTTCCAAACCAACAGGACAAAGTCATAGCTATAGAGTTCAAAGAGGAAAGACATCCCTAAATGTTGTGAGATTGAGATATTTGTCTTCAAACTGAAAAATTCTGGTCCTCAATTTATAGTGGGGTTTTTTTTCGGGGGTGGGGGGTGGAACCAGACAGATACCTAGTATATAACTATATACTAGGTAATCTATTTTGGAAGTAGCAACTACTTATTTATATACAATATGATAGTATGTCTTATGAGTGTTATTGTCAATTAAAAACCAAATAACCACTAATCACTCCAGAGTGAATTTCAGTTTCCCCAAATAGATCAAATTATTCATTTCTACATCCCTTTTTCATTGATTTCTGTGGAAAATCATTTACATTTCAGTGATTAAAAGGAACTCTTTAGCCCACATAGTTTTTCCATAAGCATTTTTTTATATACATACCAAAAAAATCATGTTATATAACATATTAAGTGATGAGTTATGGGACTAAATGTTAAATGATAGGTGCTAGGGATATTTAGAACTGATATTTAGAACTCCCAGATCTTCAGGGACTTATCATTTGGCTGGGAAGTTAAGATTTATATATATATATATATATATATATATATATATATATATATATAGTACATAGGTGTCTCAGTGGTAATAACACTCCCCAAACCAAAAGAAGCTATTCTCATTCTAACCCCGAATCCATGAATGTAGGAATGATGCTGTTATAGCCTTCTTTTATTTCAAACTCTCCAAATTTCCATTATCTGTAATTATACAAGACAGGTGGGGTGACATCAAAGGAGAAAGGATATATTAGTCACGAGTGTCATGAATAATTTGTTATGAAATTATATACTAAATATATACATGGATACTAATGGTTAATTCCTTAAGAAGAGGGACCCTTGTCCTCATGGAATCATAGATGTCAGACATGGAGGCCCTGGAGACAGTCTATTCCAAGGCCGCCATATTGTAGAAGAGATCTGACGCCTAGAGGAATAGAGATATATTCATGGTCACAGCTATTCACAAATAAGAAGAGTTCAGATTTTCAATGAGATCATCAGGAATTAAGCCCAGGTCTCTTTCTTTCATACCACATGGCGTCACCATGGGTGGAACACAGGGCACTGGGCAAAGTTGAATATTTAATATAATATTACTGTCTAAAGTTATGTCTTATCAAGAAAAGGTAACTTCTCTCACACATACAAATCCTCTAAAATCTGCAGTATGCATACATATACTATACAGTAACATATTATCCCTAACTAGGAAAAAAGTAGAATGATTAGTCTAAGTATCTCTGACTCAAAATAAGAACTAGAAAATATCAGCAATATAATGTCTGCTTGCAGAATCCTGATAAAAATTCATGAGAATCCATGAGAATGCTAACCCAGAATAAGAGAATTTATAAGCCAAAGGAGGCTTTACAAATCTTTCCCACAACTGCATATAAAATATGAAATCTATGCCAGTCAACTTAGAGAAAAGCCATACCTCCTGTAAGATGTCTTGAACACCATCAGAACCTTATGAAACACATTCTGATAAGCAAAGTGAAAACGAATCACAATTATTGGCAAAGAGTTGTGCTATAATTTTTCTCAAACCAATAACAATTGTTTGAAAAGAGGTGAAACATCAAGAAGAAAGATATACGCTATGGGCTGCATTTTGATTAGGCTCCTGGATCTCCACACTTAAGACTTACACTTTTCCCAGGACTCATCACCATCTGGTGATAATTACAAAGGTATGGTAATAGAGGGCCTTAAATCAAACATGCATGGTAGATCTGCTGTCACTGCAGGAACCATCTCATTGCAAGTTGGCAGGGAAGGAGGTGCTTGCCTTTCGACTGGCAGAGCAGGCCTCTTGGCTGGCACAGCTACCAGCTCTGCCTTAAATCTTCCTGAGATATGCCCTGTTAGAGTCATTTGGCTAATTTAAAATGTCTGTCTTTGGAGAAATCTTTCATAACATTAGTTTCATTTGCAGGTTGCTGAGGAAGATCTCTAGGGCTAGCTGCCTACAGAGCCCCGGCTCATCAGTAGTCCCATCCAAAGGGTCCACTCAGACAAGGGGCCAGGCAATGACCTGACAGTCATCCTCTCTTGCCAGAAGTTATATGTGAACAAAGTTTCCTTTTTTTTTTTTTTTTTCTGAAGAATTTATTTATTTGTTGGAGAGAGCTTGAGAGAAAGAACACAGGCAAGGGCGAGGGGCAAAAGAAGAGGGAAAAGCAGACTCCTCACTGAGCAGGGAGCCCCATTCAGGACTTTGATCCCAAGACCCTGACATCATGACCTGAGCCAAAGGTAGATGCTTAACTGAAAGACAGCCGGGTACCCTGTGAGCAAAGTTTCTTGAGTGGATATGAAATCTCCAGTAAAGCAGACAATATAGATGGGGGATTCCTAGGCTACCCTTGACAATTCTTATTACCTCAAGAAATAGTACGAAATTGGAACACTCCCAGGGGAAAACCTGCCCACCGTCTTTAATTTTTTTTTTTAAAGATTTTATTTATTTATTTGACAGACAGAGATCACAAGTAGGCAGAGAGGCAGGCAGAGAGAGAGAGAGAGAGGAGGAAGCAGTTTCTTTCTTTCTTTCTTTCTTTCTTTCTTTCTTTCTTTCTTTCTTTCTTTTTTTAAGATTTTATTTATTTATTTGACAGAGAGAGAGAGAGAGAGAGAACAAGCAGGGGGAGCAGCAAAGGGAGAAGCAGGCTCCCTGATATGGGGCTTGATGCCAGGACCCCAGGATCATGACCCAAGCTGAAGGCAGATGCTTAACCGACTGAGCCACCCAAGCACCCCTCTGAGCTCATTTTATGACACTCTCTTTGATCTCATTCAGCTCCAGCTACCTTGACTTGGTCTTTCCACTCATAAGCCAAGCTAATTCTGAGTTATTTTGTTCTTGCTATTCCTTTTGCTTGGAAAACTGCCTCCAGTTCTTCATAAAAGTTACATCTTAAGGTCAGAATTCAGAGTCAAGAATTCAGAGCATATATTACCCTATAGCGAAGGTCTTTGGAGGCTACTCCATCGAAATCAGCTAACCTTCCCCCCACCCTAATCCTAGCAGCTAATCCTCTCACATCGCTCAGTTTTATCTCCTTCATAGCACTTGTTCCCTGAAATTTCCTTTTGCGTTTGTTTACACACACATCTCCAAACACTAACACACACACACACACAAACCCTAACACACTAAAATGTTTATCTTATTAGAGCAGGGACCCTGTGATCTTGTTTACCAAGGTATCCCCAGTTCCCAAAACAGTGTCAGGTACTTAGAAGGTGTTCTCTAAACTTGTGTTGAATGACTGAGCAAATGAATAAAGGAATGGATAAAAGGAGAGAATCAAACTGAGTATATATCATGTATGTATTCTGAAGTTTTATTAATGTTTAGAAATGCTCATAAATGAGGAATATTGAATTACATTTTGGTGAATATTAAGGAATTTATAGGTTTTGTCCAAACTATCTAAATATGGAAGACATTTGAGATGTTTTCAAGCAGATGTAATTTGTTTTGAAATTGTCTATCTTTCCTAATCTTATGCAGGATTTGCTTTTCACTTGACTAGGTGTGCAAGCTTGGTATGAGATTTGTAAAGCTTCTTAGATAAGCTTTGCTTTAGAATTGCAAAATGTGCATGTTTTATTCATATCTAGTGATCTGGTAAGGTGCAAATAACTGACATGAAAGAACGATGCAGAATTTAAACTTGTAAAATATCAGATCTCAAAGGATTAGTAATGGTGGTAAATAGATGATAAGGAGAACATGAAGAAATAAAAGTGCTTTAACAGATAAAGCATAGATATTAATAAATCTAACACTTTTGATTAAGCACTATCAATATGATATTCATCCTAACTTATAAAGTGAATTATGATGATTTCATTTGAATTCCATAATGTGGAGTGTTTCATCTAAAAAATTTTTCCAAGTATAACATGTTTTGCTAGAAATTGAACTAAAGATTAATGACTCTCATATTTTATGCTGATGGATTCCTAAGTATTTTATTGCTAAAATATGTCTTGTTTGTTAAATCAATGCACACAGTGAGTATCTCCATGGAAATCAGTTCTCTGCACTTAACCTCTGATATGTTTTTTTTGAAGGATGAGGAGGATGGAGAGACTACCCTCCCGTATCGGAACAGTGACCCAGTGATTGGATCTCACACAGAGAAGGTCTCCCTCAAAGCCAGTGACTCCATGGATAGTCTCTACAGTGGGCAGAGTTCATCAAGTAAGCCTACAGAATAAGGGACGAAACTGTAACTGGGAGGACTGAGTTAAGTTAATTAAAAACAGCAGATTTTAACTACAGAGAACAAACTGATGGTTACCAGAGGGAAGGTGGGTGGGGAGATGGGTGACATCGGTGATGGGGATTAAAGAGTGCACTTACCATGATCAGCACCGTGTAATGCACTGAAGGGTTGAATCACTATACTGAACACTTGAACCTGACATAACACTATATGTTAGTAATACCAGAATTAACATTTTAAAAACAATTAAAAAAGAAAAAAGAAACAAATTCAAATGAAAACCAACAACAACAGATTTGCTTCTTTGGGGCTTTCAAATTAGCAAAAAGTTTCCAGATACTTGATAAGAAAAATAGTGAAAATGTAGGATTGCGGAATCCGTAGAGTTGCTGTTGTTTAAAATGATACACAATATATTTGATAGAATTATGTATTATTTTGAAACTTCTAACACTGTAGTTGGCAGGGATCTTGGGGATATGCCTCAAAAAAATCATCTTGGGAGACGAAATCTGCATCCCTAAAATAAAATTGTTTGCTTAGGAGAACTAGCATTATCTTGAGTCAAAATCTTAAATGACTTGACATATTCAGATAAATGAAATCCTGTTCTCTGTCTCTTGTTCCGCCCATCCCTTCCTCCTTCCTTTCCTTTTCTCGTTATTCCTCCTTTTTTTCTCCTTCTTCTTTCTTCCTTCCTTCTCCTCTTTTTCCTTCTTTCTTCCCTCCTCCTTTCCTTTGTTTCTTTCTTCTCTTTCTTTTTTTCTCTCTCCTGTCCCCTCTCACTTTTTTCCTTCCTTTCTGTTCCCTTTTGCCTGAAGTATTCTGAAAAGAGAGAGACATATGCATCACTTCTCACATTCACTTTTTAGGTGTCCATCTAGTATGAGTGAGTAAAGAATGAAATACTGTGTAAATACTAAATAGAAGGAATATGGCCAGTTAGGTGACAGGAAGGAAGCAGCATGTGTTCAACAAGGATTTTCTAAAACCATTGTTTCTAAGAAGGAAGTAATTCAGGGTTTTTTGTTGTTGTTGTTGTTTGTTTTTTGTTTGTTTGTTTTTAGTAATTCAGATTTTAGTCACATATCCTGCTATCTGGAAGAAACTACTGATACCGCAGGGGGCCTTTTAACTTTTTTATGTGTACACTGTTATTCATTCCTCTGATCTTTTCAGGGCTTTTAAATGTTTTCTTTTTTTGCAAGGTTTATTTGCCATTTCCTTTTTAATCAACTGCTTCTGTTACTTGAAGATAGATCGCAAATACCAGATGTTTCAGATATCCTGAATTTTATTCCTACTTTTCCTATTGGCTGAAGAAGAGTTATTTTGTGAAGAAAGGAGAAAAAAAACTAATGTAGAAACATTTGAAGGATATATTTTTGCATGTGTGAAATTCAGATTTCATTAGTATTCACTTCTGCTGGAAGTTTTAAAATTCTAAATTGTAATGCTGAATGTGGGTAGAATTTTATTAACTGGGATGTACCATGAAAAGCCAGGGCCAGGGGTGGCCATGGAAAGAAGGTGTAAGGAGATGGTGGCCCACTTATCTGTTGTCATATACAACTTAGTTTTTGCGATTACATGCAACTCACCCTTTCTTACAATGGTTCATATTCAATATGTTAAGGTTCTTTACCTTATCTCCATAATTATTTGATTAAATAGTAGAGAAACCAGGGCTGTTTCATCATTGGACAGAGCACTGAGAGGCCTCACTGAAGAAGAAAGTGGAAGTAGTGGAGAGTGGTGAGAGTGGTGGAGAAACTGAGAGCTACTTCCACTGGAAGCCATTCTTACCACCCCCGACCCCGCCTCTCGCAGGCAGCAAAAAATGGAATCTCTTCTTTCTCTCCCTTGAGGTTCAAACTCAGGAGGAAAAGGACCAGAGAACAAGGATTCAGAGTAATTTAAAAAGCCCAGTTTAGAAAGTTTAGAACCACAAGGAAGGACAGACACGGGAACACACTTTCTCTTTGCTTCAAATTCACACAAGCAGAAGTGCTACCTTTTATGCATAGAGATGTTACTTCAAAATGGCTTTTGGTACATAATAGGATGTTTGGGAGAGCACTCTAGCTACATTGTGATAAGAATAGGGAACCCTGTAGTCTGATGCTTTGACCATTTGTGATCCGTAGTACATAAGGATCAAACTGTTGCTATAGGTTTTTGTCTTTGTTTACAGGTACAAAATTAATTGTCTGGCCTGCACAAGGAGTTAAGTCTGTATTGTTTGTCTCTTTAGCAAGTAGCAAAACACTTTGCTATTGGGTCAGATCACAGAGACCAAAGTGAGAAGGTGTTTGGGTTAGTGGTTGAGGAAAGAATGGTCAGATTGGCTCAAGAAAGTACAGAAATGGCTCAGAGGACAAAGGCCACTGATGGAGAGTGACTGGGAGTCAGAAAAAAATAGGAATCCATCATTTAGAGCTCCCTCAAAAGGTTGGCGTCCAGTGCTTCAGCATGATCCCCCCCTTAGCTCTATCCAGATGGTGGTTCAGAATGTTACGAACCTTCAGTGAGAACTGTTAACCTCTGCTTTGCTTTCATCAGGTGGAATAACAAGCTGTTCAGACGGTACGAGTAACCGGGATAGCTTTCGACTTGATGATGATGGCCCCTACTCTGGACCATTCTGTGGCCGAGCCAGAGTACATACTGATTTTACACCAAGCCCCTATGACACTGACTCCCTCAAAATCAAGGTGTGTGCACGTCATAGCTGCATTCTGCCTGGTTTGTCTAGCACTGGTTGTATGGTCTGTGTCAGGAAGTACAAGCAGTGGGAACGGGGGCGGGGGGGGGGCGGTGAGTGTGTTCTCCCCAGCACTAGAACGCAGGAATGGGTTACTGTGGCAAGAATATGAACAAAACAAAACACTCGAGGTGGGCTAGGGGAATTGGTCTGTTGAGGCTATAGCATAAGTTGCTGTTATGTAGATAATGCAGATTCTGAGCCTGTCTGGGGAGAAGAAATTGTCTACATTTTTCTGAAAACCAGAAGCCTCACAGGTTACTGGAGGTGCCTAGCTCTGCCTGCTACTTCCTGGATTAGAAGGAGAAAGAGAAAAGATGGCGCTATCAGGCAAGAACCCCTCACAGCAACTCCCTTGGGAACCAGCCTTGGCTGGGCAACTTCAGTACTTAAGTTGGGGGCTATGAATAACCAGACATCTTTCTCCCAGTGATATTCCCTCCTGAATTCCCTCTTCTTACCTCTGATTCTCTATATTCGTTTTCTACTGCCATGTAACAAATTTCCACAAACTCAGGGACTTTATACAACACAAATGCATTACCTCACAGTTCTATAGGTCAAACATTTAGTCATGGCCCAACTGCATTCCCTGCTTAAGGTCTCACGGGGCTAAAATCAAGGTGACAGCTGGGGCTGTAATCTTACCTGGGGCTCAGGGTCCTCTTCCAAACTCACAACTATTGGCAGAATTCAGTTGCTTGTAGTTGTAGGACGGAGGCTCCTGCTTTCTTGCTGGATGTTGCCTGGGAGACATTCTCGGACCCTGGAGGTTGCCAGCCATGGTCCTCTCTACAACATGGCAGCCTGAAGGAGAAAAGTTCACTCATGTTTCAAATCTCTTTATTTTTAAGAGCTCCTACCTAATAAAGTCAGAAACACCCAGATAACCTCCCTCTTAATTACAAAATTAACTAATTTGGGACATTAATTATATCTGCACAGTCCCTTGTGTCATATAGTACAACATAATAGTGGGTGTGAAATCCATTGTTTTCATGGTCCTACTCACACAAGAGGGGAGGTGCTGTTGCAATCATATAACTAGAAGGTTTTGGTGCTGAAGTATTTTATACATGTTAAATTATTCCTTTTAGTAACACAAACTGGTATAGCTAAAAGGACAGAAATTATGACTTTTCTCTACTATCATCACCAAGCCAGTGTTAACCAGCAATTATGACAAGTTATGAAGTATTGATGTTATTATTTAACATTCAAGACACTCTGCTCTTCTCTTTATCCCTTCTTTTGTAACAAATCAGACTAAGCTCAGCGGGAGAATGAGGAAAACGTTATTTCCCATAGTTAGCTCCTTAGTCATTTCTATGAATGCTTTGAAATTTAAGTTTAAGTCTTGGGGAAGGAATATTTGCAGCCTAGTAGCCACTGTTGGGGGAGGGTGTAGAAGGGAATAAATTGAATACATTTAGGCTCGGGAAAGCTTTTCGCCTTTCCTATAATACCATGTCAGTGCCCCACCGCTTGTGGTGTCTAAGGTGATATTTGTAGAGCTCTTATAGGACACAATAAGAATCCCACAGTTACCACTGGGGATTGAATGCCATTGTTTATATCAAAGGTCTTATCCGCAATGAAACTGGGTCTTCGCTGGTGACTGTGGGCTTTCCTGGAATGTATACTTTTTTAAAAGTTTAGAGGATAATAGGAAGGATGCAGCAGAGAGCTCCCATGCTTAGAAACTTCCCCTAGAGCTTCTGGGGATTTTCTAGGTCTGCTTAGCTGATCCCACCTAGCCCAGATTCAACTCTCCGCAGTTAAAGGCAGGAAGAACTAGACGAATAGCTTATAGGGTCAGACAGGCAGATGATCATAAATCAGAAAGATCAGATCTTTTAATCACACTGAATCCTACTATTAAAAATACATTGTGTGTTTTAGATGGAAGAATACACATTCGTAGAAAGTGAGGAAAAAACATTTTTAGTAGCCGACTTAATGTTTTGTTTATTTGAGTGTAGTCCCCTGAAAAGGCAACAATATCAGAACCTATAATGTCCTCTCTGGGGTAGAAATTATAAGTCTCAAAGGAAGAAATATGACTTCTAAATGGAGGCACTATTATTTGGGTAGAAATCAATTTTCTTTACAAAGAAGTACCATGGGGGTTTTCTACTCTTGCTAGTAACTGGCAGCCTGTAGCCAATTAGAGTCTTAGATGTGAATAAAGAAAAAGACCAACTGGTTTGTCCATCCTAATGTGCTTCTTTCATCCTATGACCCAAACACTGTTGTGAAGCTCAGGCTAAGTATTATCTTCTCTAAAATAATTCAGTAGCATAATTTGTCCTTGGTGCACACACACATACTTTTGTTACATATTTAGACGCACAAAGGTCTAATAGTTTCGTTATTTTAGAGGAATGCAATACTTTAGATGGTTTCTTTTTTACTGTAGATAAGTTTTTCAGATGAACTAGAATCATGGACAGAGATAGAGTTCTTTTTCTTTCCCTTCCCCATGTGGGAACCCCTCCAGGAATGATGGCTTGAGCTTTGCTATATATCTATTGCTTTGAGAAGATGAATGAAGAGGGCATCATTTTTTAGTTCAGACAACTGATTGCCAGTTGCTCTGGGAAGTTATTTAATGTTACATTCCTTTTCTATAATATTTAGAATTATAAAGATACCTTGTATATGTACCTAAGTAATGTGTCATGGGCATTAAATGATTCACTATATGCAAAAGTACTTTGTAAATTCCATTGTGCCGTACAAATACAAGTTCATAAATTGATATACCAAAACCATAAAGATGTCATCGAATGCATGTAGGACCTTTTCTTCAAGCTTGTTGAAGTGTTCTTCTTTATTACTAGCAAATAATTCCCTTGAACTTTTAAAGTAAATTTTCTCTTAGATTTATTTCTGCTATCAGTAACTTCCCTTATCATATTCCCTCATTATTCAAATTTCTGTGATTCCATTCTTTCTACTAATTGTCATAGCACCAAAGTTCTCTGAAAACTGATTGGTATATTTCTTTGTCTTTAGAAAGGAGACATCATAGACATTATCTGCAAAACGCCAATGGGGATGTGGACAGGGATGTTGAACAATAAGGTGGGAAACTTCAAATTTATTTATGTGGATGTCATCTCCGAAGAGGAAGCAGCCCCCAAGAAAATAAAGGCACACAGAAAGACTGGAAAGGAAAAACCCAAGACTCTGCAGGAGTTCCTAGAGAAGATTCACCTTCAGGTTAGCAAACCTGTGACCTATTTGATTCTGGTGCTATCTGGGTGGGATAACTAAGGAGAAAGGATCGGTGTTAAAAAATATAGGGCTTACAGCAAAGGAAAATCTGCTTTCCAAGAAGACTTCTTATTTCTCCTTTATTACTTTTATTACACAAGGACAGGTCTTGATATAACCTCCTTTGGACTAAACTCTAATGGTACTTAGCAGTGACAGTAGAGATTAATGTTGAGAAAGTGCTGTGAAAAATGAGAAATACCTAGGAGAATAAGAGGTCCAGAGAAAACATGTAAATGAGAATGATACAGAGAGTATGAGAGTAAAGGTAAAAATCCAGATAATTGAAAGGAAAATATGGAAAGAAAATTACATTTTCTGTAGGGCAAAGATCAAAAGCAAGTCAAGAGAAGATAACTAAATATAATTGTTTCAAAAGCAATTTGTTAGGAAATAGTGGTCATTAAGTCCCCATGATGATTATGTTAAGGAAATTGTGTTGTCTGTATTTATAATCCAATTATTTTCTTGTTATATTAGCAAAATTTTTATGAAATATCTACCTTGTTCAATGGTGTGTACATGCAATTTACCTAGCCTCACTCAATTTACTGTTTCGCAATCCATTTCTAATATTAATGCAGCAGTACTTTGAGAGTTTTCAAAACTCATCAAGGCAATAACCAATTAAACTTTCCTTAATTGTTTCTCCTGAATTACCTAGTTATTCTCCTGTCTGTAGACACATGACCTAGGCCTTCCTATATTACTTTTGGTGCCCCCACCCCAGATGGGGTACTGCTTGGATTAAGTACAAGTTTCAAACCTGCTTCTTCTTTTCGTGTGTTCTGTGACCTATGAGAAAACCAAGGTCTAAGGAAGTGAAATAACTTACTCAAGAACCCATAATCAAATGGTTATGTCAGAATGGGGACTTTGGTTTCTTGGTTCTAATTCAGTGCTCCTAAGAGACATCATTTTTAAAAGAAGTGGTACTTTTTCTTTCTCTCTCTTTCTCACTTAGATTTGGGGGGGGGGTGGTAAAGGGGCTGGCAGTTATTCCTGATTACTTAAAACTAAGGATATTGAAATGATGATCAAGTAAAATGGAAGGAAGTTTTGAGGAAGTTGTAAAGCGTTCAACTTCCCTTTGCATTTTTATTCTGTTAGAGAGAACAGAGGTTACGTAAATAACATACAGACTCAGAAATCAGAAGCCTGTGAATTTTAAATTAATACATATTGATGCAAATGATGGACAAACTATACATGCTGAGAAGAGAAAACTTTAGGGAAAATATTTTTCCCAACCACAGTGCTTTTATAACCACAGTGTTTGATAAAAACTTCTAATTAAATAGAAAGTCTGGAATTCCTTAGGTTTATAAAATGACGTTCACAAATGCTAAGTCTATTGTTCTGTGCCTGTTTCAAATTCATTTTTTAAACTATCCCAAGACGTTAGTGAGGGTAAATTATTTTTGCAAGCCAGCAAACAAGAAAAGATGTAGATTCAGAAATATTACTACAATTACTCTTTTAGAGGCATTTTATTGATAGACATAAGGACACGCTAGCTTTGTCGATTGAGCTATTTGAGAAGTGAAGAAATGCCAAGTGGGATGAATGATTCCGCTCTTTAATTGATCCATGATTTAGCACTACACGGCTTAAGGTAATTATTTCTTCTTTACATTTGTCCTTCCAGAAGGTGACAATTCTCCAACATACTCTTATAAATGCCCTAGAGTTCATATGTGGAGAACTAGTACAGAGTAAAATAAAGTTAAGCAAAAGTTCTGTCGGTGCCTTCGGTGTCCATATGCACTTCTACACTTTCTTTAAACCTAAAGAGAACTCAAAATAAAATATTTGAATCTGACTAGTTTATATTATACATATTTTTCTCCCCTATAGGAATATACCTCAACACTTTTACTCAACGGTTATGAGACCCTAGAAGATTTAAAAGATATAAAAGAGAGTCATCTCATTGAATTAAATATTAAAAACCCAGAAGACAGGATGAGATTACTATCAGCTGCTGAAAATCTCCTTGACGAAGAAAGTAAGTGTGCACCCCTACTTTTCTCCTTAGCTGAAAATCGCTGTTCAATGTAAATAGTAAAATTATTAAAAACAAAGCCCCAGTTTTGTTTACAGAGAATCCTATCAAGCATTCTTTTCCATAAAATAAGTATTTTCTTATTTATTTGGAAACAACAACTCCAGTCAAGTCTATAATTAGGAAGAGGACTTTTTTCCCTTCCTGGACTCAGAAAATGGAGAGACTTTTCTGGGCATCTTATTTAGAGTCTGCGGAGCTATTAATTTATCCACAAGAGGATGTCTGCATTCCCAAAGACTGAGGGAGTTAGAGACAAATATTTAGTGACAGCATGAGCCATTAGTGAGAAATGTCATATGCAACTTTTGTAGAACAGCGCCGAGCATGGCTCTAAGCTAATGAGCCTTCGCACCACACAGGAAAATTCATTTCATTACCATATAGTCACATCTTGTATGTGTTTATAGTATGCTTTCAAAACGTTGTAATAGCTTGCAAAAATATTCAGCACTCACTTTTATTATCTGAGATGGTTCTCTGTATTTGTAAGTATAAACTGAAGATAGAGTAATGCGTGCACATTCACTTACTAACTGGGTTTGTAAAGACAGGATAGCTTTTGGCGCTACCATTGCCCAGTATGAACACTCCTCTCCCTGAATCTGGTCCGGCTTCTGAAACCCTGAGCTCAGGACGTACCAACCTCCTCAAGGAATATTTTGTAAGAAGAAAGAGGGATGTAGTGACTTTTTTTTTTTAAGAATTTATTTATTTATTTGACAGAGAGAGATCACAAGTAGGCAGAGAGGCAGGCAGAGAGAGGAGGAAGCAGGCTCCCCGCTGAGCAGAGAGCCTGATGCAGGATTCGATCCCAGGACCCTGAGATCATGACCTGAGCCGAAGGCAGAGGCTTAACCCATTGAGCCACCCAGGTGCCCCGGGATTTAGGGACTTTTAAAGAAGAAAAAGAACTCAGATCATCTAATCCAGCTTTCTTGTTCAAAAATAATATTACTCATGATCATTAACTACTTTTTTGAACCTGTTCTCTGAGTCAAACTTTGAACCAAGATCTTTACACGTACGATCTTGTTTAATGTGCTCCATGGTTTTGCGAGTTAAGAGAGTACTGTCCCGTGTTTATAATGAGAAATGGAGATATAAGTGACTCGTCCAAGCTCACACACATAGTGAATTGTGGAGAGCCGGGACTGGTGTTTGTGATGCTACTCTACTTTCTACAAATAACAGCCCAGATGGAGAGCAAGGAGGAAAGTTGTATTTAGGACCCAGGCCTCCTGACTGTCTCTCAGTAGGTTTTCCCACATCCAGTCTCAAATGCTCCAAAATGGGCATAGTTACGCAGCACGTGTTTCTGCACTGGCCTTTTATCTAGCAGGAATAAATTTACTTTTTTGGAAACCACATCGCGCTTTATTCTTACTCGCTGTCTTGAGCGTGCATAGAGCTTTGTCCTTTCCAAAGAGCTTTTGCACGTACGGCTAATTTGACACCTGCAGAAGTTACCCCATTTTAGGTCCAGGCGTTCACGGGCGTTCTTTGATGTTGTGAGGAGAGGAGAGGGGGATGAGGTCACAGAGGCAGACAAAGGTCAAGCGTAAGAAGGCAGCCAGTTTCCTCAATAGTACAAGCCAAACAGTCCTGATCTGCGTAAACTGACGTAGCAGAATCTCTGGGGTAAATGAGGCAGTTTCTTTCACATCTTGTCGTTTCAAAATGTGGTTCCGCACTAAGTCATGTCAGGCTGAGAGACAGGCCCTGTAGATTTCCTGGAATTGGTAACGTGCAGTATCACTGTCAACACCCTCCAGAATAATTTGATGTTGAAGTGGAGGGAGGGAAAAGGGTATTTTTCGAGCATTTGTACATACATTGCTTTTCTTCGATAACACCATCTATATAGGGATTTTGTCCATTTCACAGATGAGAAAACATTTCAGAGATGAATTTCAAAGAGTCCAAAAACAGCTAGCTAAGTAGCAGAGCTGAAGTTTTAATCAGAGGCAGTCTGCTATAAAAATCCAAGTTCTTTCTTCCACACATGCAAACTGGCAAATATAGAAAGAACAATGAATATCTGAAAATTGAAGTTTTCTACTGTGCCAGCTTTCTCAGGAGCTTCAGTTCAGTTTTCCATCTCAGAAAGTGGAAGTTCATACGTAAGTGAGAACAGAAACCTTGCAACAACATTACTGCCTGCAAGGTTCAAGACAACTATGGCTGCATTGCAACAGGGCTGGTGGATAGGAAGGGCCAGAGAGTCTGGGTGAGAAAGGTTTTTAGCCATGAAAACAGTGATCAGTCTGGACCCACAGCAGGAAGATCGGTCCAGGGCTGGAGGCTTGGTCCGTGTGTAGTGTCGACTTAATTTCTTCATTCCCCCTCCCTCATCCCCCCTCTCCTTTCTATGTTAGTGAAAAAGTAATGACGTATAGATAACAACATATATGAGAGCTAGGTGCAGTTTGAAAAACCATCTGACCCAAGTGCTTCCTTTGCAAGAAGGGGAAACCAAAACCAGAGTAGCTAAGTAGCATTCTCAAGGTCACAAGTCTAAACCCAGGCTCCCACATCTATTAAAAACACATTCTACTGTACCCTGGAAACAAAACACAGTATCTCCAAAGCGTGATATAAAAAAGTACGAGTCCCCCAAATTATTTCCCTTATAAGACATTGGAAAATGGTATTTGAAGGTCACTAAAAGTTGATCATTTAACAATAGCCCGTAATGTACACATGGACACACACTGAGCCAAATGCTAGGGGATGAAAAATAGAAGAAAATGCCGATGCAACCAGTGTTTCTTGTCAACACGCAGCCCTGAGATTTTTCTTATTTTCATCTTACGGTCTAAAGTAGTATTAGAATATACATGTCAAAAAGATGCATACTGCATGTTAGGCTATCCTGACTGAAAGCTATTTATCTTATATGAAACTGCTTTGCTCAAGAAATAAAGAAGAATGACTTCTATTTGTTGATAAGATGGTGAGTTCTGATGATTCGGCCCCATGCTGCTGCGTGCATGCTTATTTTTATCTATTCTCTACTCTGTGAATCGTATCTCCTACAACCATGCTCAAGATTAAATGCACAACCTTCATGTACCTTGAATGATAAAGACCTTGAATATATGGTTATATAAAACTAAGATATTATTAAAAACAAATGCATGTCACAGTCATGGGTTAAAAATAGTTTTGTGTGTGTGTGTGTGTGTGTGTGTGTGTGTGTGTGTGTGTAAGAATGGAGCATGCAGATTGGCCAGGATTTTATTTATGCATTTGATCTTGATCATTGAAGATAGTTTGGGGAATGTCCATAAATTCCTAGTTTAAAGCTTCGTGCCTCTTAGATTGGGAACTGGAAAGTTTTGCTTTACCAACCCTCCAGTATAAAAATTGAGGAGAGTCTGGGGCGCCTGGGTGGCTCAGTGGGTTAAGCCGCTGCCTTCGGCTCAGGTCATGATCTCAGGGTCCTGGGATCGAGTCCCGCATCGGGCTCTCTGCTCAGCAGGGAGCCTGCTTCTCTCTCTCTGCCTGCCTCTCTGTCTACTTGTGTTCTCTGTCTGTCAAATAAATGAATAAAATCTTAAAAAAAAAAAAAATTGAGGAGAGTGGACACCTGTTTGCCGGGCAAGAGTTAAAACTTTGACATGATGGAGGAAAAACTGCAAGCCCCATGTGAGCCTTTAATACATCTGGAGGGACCAAGAGGGTAGGGGGAGTGGGACGGGGACCAAAACAGAAACCTAATACTTAGGGCAAGCAACTTTCCTTTTCTCTTAGGCCACAACAGATAGCGTTGTACCCACTCTGACCTTGAACACGAAAACTGGATTAAACTTTTCAGGCCACTGCTTGACAGGAGGTAAATTTGTTTCTCCTACAAGCTGATAGAAGGGCTGGTGAGTGGTGTTAGCGCTGATTACAGGATTACCTCTGGAGGAGGATAACGACTTTGGGGTTCTGCAATCCCGCCAAGGCCAATACCTGAACTTGAACTTGCTGAACTTGCTCCCGTGTTGCCTTAGAAGAGAGCAGAATTAGGTCATGGGCTCCCCCAGCTGGGAATCTAGATGAGGCTAGATGGGGAAGAAAAATTGGGGTGACGCTCGGCTTTTGAAGGAGCAAAAGAGCAGAATCTATTTATTTGGTGCACATTAGGCTTTCTCTATCACCTGAATTTTAAAATGGTTTGTCAATTTTAAACAATTTTAAAATTGTTTGAATAAAGATTCCCAGTAAGAAAAGAGAATGTGTGTGTGTCTGTGTGTGTTAGTGCATGTGTTGTTCATAAACACAACCTTCGGGACACCTTTGCCTTGCTAATAAATGCTTCTTGCAAATAATCAGAGAGTTAACTGCTATTAATAGTAAATATTTTCTCTTTATTCTGAACTCGTTCCTCTTTTCCCACATTTAGAGGCACTTTGATGTGTCTTAAAAGTGTGTCTATGAGAATGCGTACTATTGTCCTCAGGGAAAACATGTGATGGAACTATCTTGTTCTCCATAGAAGCACAGGAATAATTAAATTTTAAATCAGAGTTGGGGGGGGGGGGGAAGACTTAGTAACTGAAGGAGCAAACTGTCCTAGAAGCCACGAATCATGTATTTGAGGGAGCTGCAACCTTTTTTGTGGCACTCAGAGAAGAGGAGGGGGAAGGGCGGCCTGTGTGCCAGGCTGTTGGCACCAGCTGTGGTCACAGCAGCTCCACGTTGCTCAACTATCCCCAGTTGTGCCTTCCTGCCTGCCTACCTGCCTAAAAGGACGCAGGGCAAGAGGCAGGTCCCAGCCAGGAGCCTGGAGCATGAGCTGCCAGCAGGGGAGATCTGCAGCGACGCCGAGCAGCAGTCCAGCAGTTGGCCTGACAGCGCGCCAGGGTAGCCTGGTGCCCCAGCCCCTGACATGCAGGCCTGGTGTTTCCAACCCACCTGCCATATGATTGGAATCTAGATTCCAGAAGCGTGCA